CACAGTTCCTTATCCAGCAATATAAATGCCCACACGAATAAGGGGCTGATTACATGGAGAGTTTTCAGCTCGGGCTTAGTTTAGTCGCGGTTTCCTGGGCTATTAAAACACAGCAAACGATTATGCATGACAGAAATTTCAGCCCGGGATAAGTTTCAACCCGGTTGAAGCTACCCGAGGTGAAAATTTCAGCCCGGATGACCGGGCTAAAAATCGTTATGTAATACTAGGAATTGTTTTAAGTTACTGTTATTTGAAAACCATCAGAACTTCTAACTTACCTCGACGATTAAAACGCTTCACTGAACCAACTTGAGAGAAACTTTGCAACGATATTGAATAAAATCAATTGATAAGATTGTCTTGCTGACAATAGTAATTTTCGAATTCCAAAACCTGTGTTTAAAACAACAAGTCAGCAAAATTTACAGTGAAAAGAGATGACAGCGTTGCCATCTACTGTAATAGCCTTTAATTTAATTTAATCTCATTTTTTTGTAATAGCCTAGCCTAATATATTTCTAAGATCTAATAAATTCATTCATTTATTTGCGATTCCCAGCAGCCTTTCGCGTTCGTATTCGACTTTTCCGCTTTGCTCGGGGGACAACCTTAATTGAAATAGCTGTATATCTATATATTTATTATCAAGCCTTATACTCTGAAACGTTCTGAGCCCTAACAGGAATTGAGCCACGCAACCTTCTGATAACCGGACAGACACTCTAACCATTGAGCTATTAAAAGCTTCGGATACACGAGCAATATTTTTGCTGCGATGGTTACGCAATGGGTAATAACAGCATTGCGTTGCCGTCGCACAAGGTGGCTACACCTGCAATATTTCACCTGCAATATATGTCTTCATAACGCTTTTCATTGGCTGGTCAAGAAACGTGTCATTCACCAACCTTGACCTTCCTTGACCACACCTCCCAATTTTCGGCAATCATTGCCGAAAATCAAATGATTTGAAATTTCTGCGTTGCCATCGCAGAGCATGATACACAAGCAATTTCTTTCTCGCGACGGCAATGCAACGATTTTACCATTGCATTGCCATCGCCAGAAAAATATTGCCCGTGTATCCGTAGCTTAAGGCCTCAGCTATTTACAAGCCCGATGCTATTTTATCTTCACTAATTTCACGACAACTATTTTCATTGTTCAACGACACGGATCGATGACGACAAACGATTATGTCACTCAAAAGAACCAATTTCTATTAACCAGTCTTCCTTTTAACAAAAGATCGTTTTGCTCGAATCATTTTGAGTTATGTAGCTAATCTTATTCGTATTGGAAGTAAACAACATATCTTGTCTACAACTTTGAGAAGGTACAGATAACGCTTTTAAATCCTCAGTTCTAGCGATATCCCTAGAACGTTAATGCGAAGTCTTTTGGCTATGTCATTTATCTGAAAAATAAACTCTTTTAACGCGATCAAGGTATTTAAAACAAAAGTAACACGAAGCCAACGTAACAGCAAAGACAACGCTAAAATGAAATATTGTCGATGGGTTGCTTGTATAGAAGACTTACGACAGGATCAATCTTAAATAACCTTAAAAACTAGAAGAAAAAATGTTCACATCAAAGACAAAGATTAGTGTAAAAGTATAAAATCTGCTCAAAGTGGAGAAATGTGTGCATGAGCTGTTTATTTGGTGATTTGGACGTATAGGGAAGCCCGTTTCCCAATAATATTCGCTTATCGCGCAGAATAACACCAACTGATATAATAGTTCAAATACAATGATAATTAGTTACCTCTTGAATTACGTCTCAGAAACTGTGATGAAAATTTGAATGCTGACCCATTGCATATAAGATTACAGTTTAACATTGTGGTGTAAAACATTTTGATCGCATGTAAGGAATTATTTCTTAGCCCAAAGACATAGCCCAAAGACTTGACATTAACGTCCTTGTGATTTTATAGAGATAGAACCAGAACTAAGGATTTTAGAAAGCGATGTCGGCACCTTCCCAAAGTTGTGGACAAGATATGTTGTTTATACGTCCAACGCGCTTAAAATTACATAACTCAAAATGATTCTCGCAAAACGGTCTTTTGTTAAATGTAGAGACTGGTTCATAGGAATAGTCATTTTGAGTTATGTAATCGTGTGTCTTCATCCATCCGTGTCGTTAAACAATGAAAACATTTGCCGTGAAATTAGTGAAGATAAAATAGCAGTTTGTGAGAAAACTGCGGGTCTACGAAGCGGGAACTTTTCGAATTTGAACTCAGTGTGTTCGAAAGTTAGATCCAGTAGGTCACATATGTCCTTTACCACTTCTATGACATGAGTTTGATAAGTGCTTGTGCAATTTTCTGCAATCTAAAGTTTCATGTTGTCTGCACATGTACTTTCTTTGGAGACACCATTTGCCTCCTGACAAATTGGAAAATGATCAAGATAGTGACTCTGATTGATTTACATATAGTATTGACATATGACTGTTGACATTGCCGTTTAGTCTCCATTATTTGAGCGAGTCATGCTTTGGAAATGACAATAAATGTTCATTACCCAACCCTTGAGTTGTTTTGTTTTTCGTTCACCCAACCTTGTACTCACTCAAACTTTTGTTTGCCCGACCCTTTTCTCTTCGGTGCCACCCCCCGCCATAAATAATGAGCGCTTCCTAAACTTGGATTTTAGAGAAAAAAGTTTAGTGTTGATTTTTATTTCTAAATGTTTAATAATTAATTAATATTCATTATTCTTAGCATTTTAGATGAGCAAAATGAACCTGAATAGACCTACATTCATGCATACTAGAGGTGTGCAAATCCGATCCGAAACCGATCCGATTCGTTCGGATTTCGGAACCAAAATATTCATTTCGGATCGGACTGATAAAGTTGTTTCGTAGTTGGATCGGACTCCGATATCCGAAATAAAATGAATTAATTATCCATGCATTATCGCAAGAATTAATTATCCATGCATTTATCAAAGCATTATCGCGATTGTCGCTGCATCATTCGTTTGATACTTCAATTGGACATTGTCAACTTCTTGACATGTATCTAAATTTCTTGCTTTTATATATTTATATGGTTAAATATTTCAACTTGAATAAGAAATTCATTTTATTAAAGAATTCTTCGGATCGGATTGGAATTCTTTATCAAAACTCGGATATCGGATTAGACAATTTCGGATCGGATTTTAAACATTAGGCAATCGTCGGATTATAAACGTCCACTCCGAACGGAGCACACTTCTAATGCATACTGCATTTAAGATAGTGCGACATCTGCTGACGGATCAATCGCTCGACGACCTTCGACAATGCAGGAAGTATGGATATAGGTCTATAATTGTCGGACTCGGTCGGTAGATCGATCTTCGGTATGGTGAAATTATTATTATTATGAACTATATTTCAACACGGTACAATTTTACCTATACTAAAATTAATTATGTACAAGATATAAAAAGAAAAAAAGGTGATCTTCCAACCGGCCGTGCTCACACAAAAAGAAATAAGAAATAATTACAAGAAAATTATTTTAGGTAGATGGAAACAATGGCAGGATCACTTGATGTTAATTTGCATGCTTCAACTTAGATTTAAAATTAGCAACAGTTGTTGATGCTTTTACAGATGCAGGAAGGCAGTTCCAGACTTCCGCACCTCTGTAGGAGAATGCATTTTTCATACTATTTGTTTTTGGTTTAGGCAATGTCAAATCGGCTCCCGACTGTCTTGTGTTATGGTCGTGTACATCACCAACATTTGTGAACATATCACACAAGTAATCGGGGACCAATTTGTTTTTCACCTTGTACATGAGAATTGAAAGTTGTTGCATTCTTCTTTTTTCGAGGTTCGGAACTTTTAGCTTGTTTAATATATCAGCCGATCGTGTCGTATAATTCTCACGAGTGATTATTCGAAACGCTCTGTTTTGTAATTTTTGGACTTTAGCTGCTAATATGATTGAAATCATCCGCAACGTCAAATACGATGACGTAAGGCGTGATTCGATGGTAAATTTAATGCTCACGTGGGCACTAATACAGGTTTCTGATTGGACACCTTAAATTTGAGCAATAACATCATATTACACCACACCTCCAAATCACTGCGAGTGTTGCAAAAACAACGCACTCGCATAGATTAGAATTTAATGAAAACAGAACGTTTTCGAATTTGCAAAGCTCTTGGTGTTTACAAAAGAATCACTATATCCGTAAAATTAATATAAAATATATTAATTATTAATGCTCGGAATGAATTAATATCAAATAAAATATTATTTTTTTCATGTGTTAGTGCCATGTACTCAGGTGAATATGATGCTTGTGATGTTACTATGAGTGTATATCCACCCTGGGCAGGCTTCAAAAATAATTAATAGATTACATTGATGTCGAAGGAACTAGATTCGATTCCGAAATATCACAAACTCGAACCGACCTGACCGCGTAGCTCAGTTGGCAGACCGTTGGGCTGGTATTCCCAATGTCGTAGGTTCGATTCCCACCGCGGGCAGGCATATTCTTCAAGCTTGCCCAGTGTGGATATAGACTCAGAGTAACATCACAAGCATCAAATAAAATTACTATTTGACGCACAGAATGAATAAAACTGGCGTTTCATTCAATTCAAAACGATATACTCTTCCAGTCCAAGAGTTAATTTAGAACAGCGATATAGCATGCTACTGCTGCAGCACTTTAAATATTATTCGACACTGACCTCATATTAAAGATTTGATAATTTTTAATCATTTTTTGAAAAACATTTTAATATTTGCAATTTTCTCACATTCCTAATTTGTTGACATTAACATCACATTTTAATATAAACGTTTACCGGACCGCATATCAGTGTATATTGAACTTTAATAATTTATAAAAAGTAGTTTTTGATCCTTCAAAATGTCAAATTTCGAGTTAAAGTATCTACCAATATATTTCACACTTTTTGCTGGCATTTCATCACATTTATTGCTTCTTATTTGCTTGGTAAAAGATCCTTTGAAGTGTTTCAGGAATTCTGCGACTTATCTCATCACGAATTTAGCTTTCTCCGACTTCATATCGTGCGTTTTCGGTTTAATTGAAATATTAGACTTCTCTGAGGAAATGCGAAACGTAATTTCATATATATCGAAAACAGTCATGTTTGTATCACTGCTTTCTATATTTTCAATCGCAATAGATCGATATATGTTAACAGTACATCCATTCAAACATCGCGTGCTCTTAAATGGAAGAAGGATCGCCATTTGGATAGTTTCAATATGGCTTCTAAGCCTGTGCCTGTTGGTAAAATATCTTGCATTTGACATGAGCCAAATGGATAATATAATATACGATGCGACATTTATCACCATTGCTGTGATTACAAGTTTAATATACGTATTAATTTATTTATCTTTGAGAAAGAAACAAGAAGATATTTCTCAACAAAATCGCTCAGGGAATCGAGCATTACAAGAGGCGTTTGTGAAAACGATCATGATTGTGGCATTTATTCAAATTTTCACCCTGGTTCCAACAAGTGTATATTGTCTGATTCATGGCTGGGCGGATGACTTTTCAGTTGCAAACTTTATCTTTTTCGAAATATACTTTGTAAACTTTGCCATTAATCCCTTTCTCTATATCTGGAGACTTAAGAATTATCGAGAAACATTTCGTTTGATTTTTTGTCGAAAATTACGTTGACATCGGAGTTTTGAATGACATCAACACTTATTGACTGGGACTCTTAGGAAAC